GCACTACATACACACATACACACACACACACACACACACACACACACACACACACACACACACACACACACGCGCGCGCGCGCGCACGTACAAACGTAGAGATAAGGACGAGCGACGTTTGATAGAACGGAAAGCGCAAATTTGTTGTTAAGAACATAGAGATTCGGGCCATGGCAGTACCCGGTCTAGGATAAAAATGTTATAAATGGTCGCTTTTAAGCACAAGGGGCTATCCCGAAAAATGCTGTTTTGAGAAAATCGAAACTTAAGTTTTTGCCCCTTGTTCAGTTTCTTTAAAAGACAAGGAGAGTTTTCTCGATAGCCAAAACAAATATACACACCAGTGAAACCAAACTTTACTCTAGGTAGGGCAATGTCCACTTTTGGTGTAGGTCAAGTTTTCTGGAAACCTCCGAGATCTGGGGCAGCCCGCTTGTCCTTAAAAGCGACCAGTTAAAGTCTATGGCCCGTGATTGTTGCAACAGAATGTAAATAAACTCCAAACACAAAACTCAAAAACTTTTATTACACGCGCGTGGGAACACACATCCTGAATCTAACACAACCCAGCTGTTCGCTTTTCCGCATTCCTCCCCCCCAATTCCTCCGCCCCTCCTCCCTCTAATCCTCCTCACCTCATCTGAACAAACCATGACCACCACCTACCCCCAACCCTCAAACCTGTTTTTGAATGGTTTTTTTTTTTTCTTCTTCTCAAGTTGCACTCCACAGCGTACCTTCAGGCCACCCTGACGTGCATAATTATGCAATAATAATATGTGTCGCGACGCGGTGGAATCAGGCGCTCGTCAGTTGGTATTTTTTGTGGGTATACAGTTATTAGTATCATCTTAAATGTCGGAGTTTTTAAAAAATGTTTTTACTTTTGATTATGAAAATGCACATCTATCTTGAATAGAAGCCAAGATAATATTTGCGATTGATAGATTACGGTCGTCAGGTATCAAAGTAAAATAAATGTGAAAATGGTCGCCAAAGTTTGGTAACTTCTAAAACTTGATGTTTATTTGTTTGAGTTAAGAGAAACACATGGATGCAACAATGGTCAATGAGTGCTGGGGAAAAAATTAGACAGACAGATAGACAGACAGACAGATAGACAGGCATAACAGGGAAAATAAAGAAATATGTTCTATCTGTGGCGCCCTCCATTAAAGCATCGCCCAAAACTTAAGGAATATAATACGTGCCTTTGGTCAATGGTTTCAGTAAAAATCTACCCAGATATATATGTTTTATAACGAGCAAAAAAAGGTGTTAAGTCCCTCCCACCCACCCCCTAAAA